CAGCAGACGGAGGCAAAGCAGTCACCCAGAGACAAAGGGTGAGAGCAACCTTCAAACTCGCTGGAAGCGAGGGGGGGACTCTGGGGTCACATCCATCGGACCCGTGCGCCCCCAGGGGTTTCCCAGGGTCCCGAGCATTTACTATAAGAGGACTCGCGCTCAGGTAATCCCAGGCAGGGTACTGCTAACCGGCACCCAAAGCTACCAAACAACTTTAAGAGCTGAACCCCCGGGATGTGTACTCTCACGGGGACCTAGCAGGGGTTACCACCAGAAAATACTCAGAACACAAGGGGCAAGAATGAAGGCAGACCCCCCCACCAGGTAGATAAACAAAAAGAAAAAGAAAACCCCGCAAGAGGACAGCGTACCCAAGCGGAACAGAGCCGGCCGCTATGATTGGTAAAGACACGCTGCACAGTACCCTGCGCCCCACCAGTGCAAAAACTGCCCCTTACTCTAAGGCGAACAAGGGAGACAGAACACCCGAGCACACAAAGAGCGGCCGAAAACCAAGCAGTAAACGGCCAAGCAGGGGCAGGACCCAAGGAACTTGTGGAAGGCGGCCCCAAGCCCCAAGGGCAGTACTTACAGGGCACCTAGAGAAGGAAACCCTAGGCGCATGCAGCCCGAGTACTGGAGAATCACTCCCGGCTCACGCACCACCTAGAAAACAGACACCACACTCTAGGTACAGTGCTGAAACAATCACTGGAGCCAGAGCACATAACCGGTGCCTATAGCATCAGCTGAAGAACTGATGGGTGAATAGCCGGCGTGGGAGGTCTGGGGCTCCCCCTTCCCCCTCCCGGGGAGGGGGGAGCTGCGCAGACAGCGGCGCGGTGACGTATGACGTCATACTAGTTTCCTTGTTTTCTGTTGAAGAGTTCTATCCACTAGTTCGGCTTTAGGTAACAATTTTCACCATAATAGGGGTTTGTTTTGGAATGCTTACCTTTCTGGATGCTTGACCCGGGCGATGGCAGACATAGAATGCTTCCTACCACACGGGGGCTTCTATAGGCCATTGCTCCCCTTGCCTCTCTGAGGGGGCCAGGTTCTGTCCGTGGTCCCCGGTAGGCCCTAGAACTCCATACACATGACTGATGCCAAAGTCTGACATTAGCATATCAGCCGGTAAAGCTCCGGGGAGCCGACGGGGCTCCCCCCAGAAATGGTGAGAATGCTCAAACTGAATTTTTTTATTCAGTCTCAGAGTTGAAAATCCTGTTCATTCAGAAAAATAAAGGTAAACTTCTCAATAATAAAATAGTAGTTCGAATTGGTGTCATATGTTGTAAGTTTTAATAAATATTGCTTGGCATTCGTACTTGAATATGTGAAAGTTGTACGTCAATGTGTGTTGAAATGAAGTCAAGAAAAAATAGCCCCCTCAAAAAACAAAATATAAAAATAATTATAATTATTTAGAGGATATATATGTATACTTTATTTAAGTGATAAAGCCCTAATCTTGTCCCTAATCATCAAAACAACCTAATGGCGCAAAGAAAATAGTTTGAAATCTGTGAAAAAATCAGCCAAAAAAAATATAAGTCACAAGTTCTGCCACCTGTGGCTGAATTATATATTGACCAATTTCTTTCCAACTTAACATCCTGAATGTCTGCTATGCATTCTCCCAGATGTAGAAGTCACAACAAAATCAGATGAGAAACAAAGGGGACCAAAAAAATTAAAAAATTACTCTTAAAAAACTAATTTGCCACCCCCCCCCAAAAAAAAAAATTGTTGGGTATTGATGGAATTAACAGATATTGGTCAATGTATTTATATGATATGTAACAAAATACAGCATTACAACATACTTACTCATTATTGTGTGTATATTAAATATTACTCAGTAACGCTACAAAGGTACCAGCTGCATATCCACTTTGTGGACCCTCCTTACTACTATTTTGCTTCTATGTGTGTCGGACAGGTGCTTGCATCTCTTTATCCCTGCATTATCCCTCAGTTCCAGTTAATAGCGGCTGTTCTTATCATCAGCACTTTTTTTTTTCTTATTTATATAAAATCAATTTCTTAACATGTTTGGATGAAATTTCCACGACACTGTTGCCAAAACATTGAAAATTTGTATAGCATTTTCATGTAATTTTCATTACTTTTGAATAGTTTTTTAACTCCCATCCCCTTAACAGTCACGCTAATGAGAAAATCCGTAAAAGCCATAATGAGGATTCGAACCTATGAGGTGGCCCGATTGTCTGAGGCGTGTGCATGAGACTACCCAAGGCATAGGTTCGAACACTCATCACAGCTCCTATGGATTTTCTCAGTGATACATCACATTAGTGTAATTATTCTGTGTAGAGTCAGGCTAATATAATTTCCAGTCAGACTAATATAATTGCCAGTCAGACTAATATAACTGTCATTCAGGCTAATAGAAATGTCAGTCTGGCTAATAGAATTGTCAGTCTGGCTAATATGACTGCCAGTCAGGTTAATAAAATTACCAGCCTATCTAATTTAACTGCCAATCAGGCTAATATGTTTGTGTGTCATGCTAATTTAATTGCCAGTCAGGTTAATATAAGTGCCCAAAAGGCTAATATATTTACCAGTCTAATTTAATTGCCAGACTAATATAATTGCCTGTCAATTTAATATAATTGCCAGTCAGGCTAATGGTACTGTAATAATTTATTGTGTCCGGTAATATATACATATAGTAAATGTTAGGCTTATATCGTGGTCCCCCAAGGGTCAAACTATTGACCCTCCCCAAGATGCAACCCCACAAGAAGCTGACTAACTCCTGGGTACCTTTTTACTGCTAGGTGAACAGGTGCATTAGGTGATAGGAAATATGTCCAACCATTTCTGTCCTGTCCAAAATATGAACCTGGAATTCTTGATTGTTTGTCAAGAACGAACAAAACTACTACCATCAGGCTAATTTAATTGCCAGTCAGTCCAATTGTTATGGTAATCTCCTGCTTAGCAGTAGATCCTGCCTGTTCCCTTTACTGCCTACTCACCAATGTATCTGCATCCTCCAACATCAAGATTCAACATCAATGACAACAATACATACCAAAAAGTATTGTCTAGTCACACCACCTTCCCCCTCCACCCACAAGTACTAATGATACCTGCACCCGCTGTCTCGCCGGTTGACTAGACGCCACCAGCTAATTATCTCTCTCGCTCGTTTAACTGCCGGCTTCTAGTTAAACTCCAGAATTCGCTCCAACTATGACTTCATACCCCATATATAAGGGCTTGCCAGCATTCAGCACAGCAGACTACCCTTTAAGTACTTATTCTTGCCCTCAGGGTGACGGTAGACACACACAGCATTTTGTAAAAAGTATTACCTGCACCTATGTTATTAACGTAAATTTCACATGTGTATATTTCTCTTTTGATTGTGTTTTAGCCAAGTGACTAAGGGGTTTTGTTTTCATTAATTGTTACGTATCCTTTTGTGGAAAATTAAAGTCATTTTTTGTTATATTAAATGTTTGAAGTTTTTATTCTCTTTGGTTTTTACCCACAGCTCTCACACAGTAGAGGACCCAAGCAGTTTTGTTTAATTTGTTTTCTCACTTTTTTTTCTTTTATTAATGTGCGACTGGCACAGCACCTGCCATAATAACTACTGCTCAGTTCCAGATAACACATCACACTAATATAATTGCCAATCAGGAAAAGCTATAGCATAACAAATGAAGTTAGCCTAGAGAAATAAAAATTTCTGACTTGGAACAGTTTTAAATGCCAGTGTTTGGCTATTATTAATACTTAAGTGATTTATAGTTCTAACCAAGAGTAGTAAAAACTCAAATAGGCCCCAAAAAAATGGTCATCAGTTTGCATAGAAATCTAATGAGCTATTTCCTTGAATAAAATTACAGTAATTGAAATGCTACCCAAAACATTATGCACGTTAGTGGCTTGGCAAGAATGTAAGCACACCAGTGTTATGTACTCTCACAAACTCAATATACCATCTTATATATAAATACATAAATAAATAAATACATTTATATTTCTCCTGCCAATAAATTGGTTTCATCTTTACAACATCTCAAACAGTTTTCAATATCAGCCCCAATGTCAAATAATATTAAAACAAAATGTCTTCAACTTACCTACAAAGAATTTGTAATTACTTAAAAATTTATTACATTTACATTTATATTTATTTTTATTACATTTTCAATTTCAACAGAGAACAAAAATAGAAGGCACATAATTATTTAAATATGAAGAAAATGAGATATTTAAAACGTTGTTTCATCTTCATTGAAATAAAGATATTTCTCTAGTTATGAACAATTTTGAGCTTTTCTACACTGACAGCTTCTCTAGTTCTTGCTTGATCATTGAATGTAACCTTGGATTGTCAATGAGCAATCTGAGAGCAGCAGTACACCGAGAGCTTCAACAAGATCTTGTAGATCTGAGGCAAAGTGAAATTGACACCAGTAATTCCATCTATCATCATACTATCATGCAAGAGGAGCCACACATCTATGGATCATCCAATAAAATCAGCAGACTTCTAGATGTTACTACTGCTCGGCTTAGACTCGGTTACAAGTATCTCTGGGAATTCTCATTATCTGCTGATGTAGACCTGACCAAATGTAAACTGTGTCAACAAAATTATTCGCACACCCTCCGTCACTATGTGATGGAGAGCGAAAAGATACGTAAATTTAGAGACAATTCTATAACCAATGTTCCAGCGATGTGTCAATATTTCATTCAAAATGATCTGCTACCAGAAATTTTAGCCAAATATCCCCAGTTTGCTAACTGTAGGTAGTAACTGAGTGATTGTAACCTATCCACCGCTGCCCACTGGATGGGGGGGGCGGTGTGCAGGACAAACATATAAATTGTGACACTAGCTCTCCACATATGTCAGCTGCTTAATTTAGAACCTGTACTTGAGGTCGATCTCGAACCCATTGTTGATGTGACGACTTATATTGAATTTTGTAACTAGGTCATCAAGATTGTAACTTGCTTAGCTAAATGAATTGTGGGGTTCAGTCCCTAAGCCCATTATGTGCCTCTGTAACCCTTTCCACTACCGCCCACAAGATGGGTATGGGGTGCATAATAAATGAACTAAACTAAACCAGCTCTTGCATGATCTATGACGACCAAATAATTTCCATAAAAGAACAAAATAGTAAAATGTCATTAGATCTTTACCTTTCATGGTGAAGCGTATTTCTCAAAAAGTAATTACCTCTGTAAGATATCCAACCAACATGGTGATAGCACAATAATTTTATAATGAAGCTCCATAATTGTATATTGAATTAAAAGTAAGTTAATGCACCAACATGTGCCTCATTATACTTTATCATTCTATGAGTCATCTCCCACATTCAAAGCTTTTAGCATATCACCTGAATGCATCAGCTTGTGCCTCTTCATACTTACACGATGATTGAACCTCTTCCCACACTCTGGACACTCATGAGGTTTATCACCTGAATGCACTAACATGTGAGTCTTCACGTGTCCAAGTTGCCTGAACCTCTTGCCACACTCTTGACACTCATGAGGTTTGTCACCCGAATGCACTAACATGTGAGTCTTCATACTTCCAAGCTGAGTGAATCTCTTCAAACATTTTGGACACTCATAAGGCTTATCACCTGAATGAACTAACATGTGACTTATTATAGTTGCACGTTTCCTAAATTTTTTGCCACACTCTGCACATTCATAGGGTCTTTCATCTGCATGCACCATCCTGTGAGTCTTCATACTTCCAAGGTGACTGAACTTCTTCCCACACTCTGGACACTCATGAGGTCGATCACTTGAATGCACTAACATGTGAGACTTCATATTTCCAAGCAGACTGAATGTCTTCCCACACTCTGGACACTTATGAGGTCGATCACTCGAATGCACTAGCATGTGAGTCTTCATATTTCGAAAAAGACTAAATCCCTTCCCACACTTTGGACACTCATGAGGTCGATCACTTGAATGTACTATAATGTGAGTCTTCATACTTCCAAGCTGACTGAACCTCTTCCCGCACTCTGGACACTCGTGAGGTTTATTACCCGAATGTACTAACATGTGAATCTTCATACTTCCAAGCTGACTGAATCTCTTCCCACACTCTGGACACTCGTGACGTTTGTCACCTGAATGTACTAACAAGTGTGTCTTCATATTTTCAAGACGACTGAATCTCTTCCCACATTCTGGACACCTATGAGGTTTGTCACCTGAATGTACTAACATGTGAGTCTTAATACTTCCGTGCTGACTAAATTTCTTCCCACACTCTGGACACTCGTACGGTTTGTCACCCGAATGCACTAACAAGTGCTTCTTCATATTTCCTAGATGACTGCATATTTTCCCACACTCTGGACACTGGTGTGTTTTCATCTTTATGAGTGGTGCAGTTTGTGTGAAAGTTTTCTACTCCGGATGATCACAAGAGTGATGCTGCGAGACACGTCACGGTGGAGGGTCAATGTTGATGGTTAGACAAGACTTGAGTGTTGTTTCTTAGAGTTAGACTTGACGTGAACACTTAGCGGTCAATGGTTATGCTTCTTCTTTATGATTGGTGCAGTTTGAGTCAAGGTTTTCCTATAATGGTCATGTCTGCACACTCACCGGCAGTGTTTGTTGCCATAATGGCGACAGATGTTTACCTAAGCGTTCCAATGTTTTTTCTAGTTCCACATCTATTTTTTTTACCTCTTATTTTGTTTACAGCTGCGCTTATACATTAATTTTTACTCAAATATTTTAATGAGAGACTGTATTTGGATACAATACCAAGTAAATATAATACCGCACGATTATGTACCTTTTGAAGAAAACATTTCTCCCATGGTGAATGCACACTAGCGCATGCGCAGAGCTAGATGTTGAGGGCTACTAGAGGTGACAGCAAAGCGAAAAACACTTCCTGAACCGATTATGTGCCTCTGTAATCCTTTACACCACCGCCCACGGGATGAGTATGGGGTGCATAATAAAAAAAGAAATTGAATTGAAATGAAAGGACAACAGTTAACATCAACATCCCTGACACTCTACGCACATGAAATTTTAGCCAAATATCCCCAGTTTGTTAACTGTAGGTAGTAACTAAGAGTGATTGTAACCCCTCCACCGGTCCATAGAATTACCCAAATCTACCCAAATCCTCCTAGCATTACGTAAGTAATGAAGAAATATGGTATATTTACTTATTATACTGTTGGTGCTACACGTAGAACATGATCAAACCTATTTTTACTCAGAAATAATCTAATTTCATAACGAAATTAGAAGTAAATATGTGGCAGGTGACGCCATAGGAAGTCGATGGTCCAAGCGACAATTTTGTGGAGCGACTTATCCAAGATATATGGTCGCCTGGAGAGTGTTTGCTGCCATATCAGTCTCCTGTACACAGTGATCCAGTCGTCGCATTTCATGGCTCAAATTGTCGCAAATTTAATTGGTGATATTAACAAGTAGAATGTGTATTTATAATAATATCTTTCATAAACAGCCACTAAATATTTAATATTTATTAAACAAAATGTGTCTGGAAGTTAAATCAACACCACAGGACAATAAATTTGTTATATAGATACTAGCGTTATTCGTTGGTATGCGTTCGCTATTTAAACTGCTCATGTCCTTTTCGTTCATAGAACACCGAACTCTACACGCCCTCTGATATATTGCTTAATTAATAAAGATTCAAAAATAAAACTTATATTTGTTTTCTGATCAGGGGAAGGAAGACACCAACAGTGTGGGGGCGTAAATTTTATTAGTACAGGATAAATAATTCTGCAGAGTAAAACAGGCTTCTAAGTAGGTCTTAACAAATGTATAACATAGCCGTGGCTAACTCAAAGTACACGAAACAACTTAAATTGTACACCCGTAGTAAAAAAAAAAAAAAAAATATAAAATGTTTATTTAGGTAAGGTACATACATACAATAATTTTTTACAAAGATTGGTTGACTTATAGAACCAAGTCTGGTGCCCTTGAGGAGATACCAACTTTAATTTACAAAAAAGCCTCCAGATCTTTAGCCCCTGCTATTGCTTTGCTCTTCAACAAGTCACTTGAACTCCAAACCTTTCCAGATATTCTAAAAAAAGCGAGAGTAACGCCTGTCCACAAATGTGGTGACCCCACAGATGTTAACAACTACAGACCTATATCAATCCTGCCAAACTTGTCAAAAATTTTGAAAAACTTATATATAAGCAGCTTTACTCATATCTAGCCAAACTCAATATACTTAGCCCTTGCCAATATGGCTTCAGACCCAAAAAAAGCACTAACGATGCACTTATTAGTATGCTTAACTCGATTCATACAGCTCTTGATAAAAAGGAGTTCCCTGTTGGGTTATTTGTGGACCTGCGTAAAGCTTTTGATACTGTCAACCACCATAACCTTCTTCTTAAATTACATCATTATGGAGTCAGAGGACACTCCCTACAATACCTCGAGTCCTACCTTACTGACAGGCTCCAATATGTTTCTGTGAATAATACAATTTCTCCCACCCTACCCATCAACATTGGTGTTCCTCAGGGCAGCATACTTGGCCCTCTCCTCTTTCTCATCTACATTAATGACCTTCCAAATGCCTCCCAACACCTCAAACCAATTCTATTTGCTGACGACACAACCTTCATTTACTCCAGTCCTGACCCTCTTGCTCTAAATGCCACAGTAAATACTGAGCTAAATAAAGTCCATCTTTGGCTAACTGCCAACAAACTCACCCTTAACATTGACAAAACTTTCTATATTCTGTTTGGCAATAAATCCTCTAGTCATATAAATCTCAAAATAAACAATACCCAAATTTGTAACAAATTAGATGGCAAATTCCTTGGCATTCTCATTGACCACAAGCTGAATTTCCAGGGACACATTCTAAATATATCAAAAAAAGTTTCAAAAACTGTGGGCATTCTTTCTAAGATCAGATATTATGTACCACGCCCTGCCCTGGTGGCTCTCTATTACTCCCTTATCTATCCATATCTCAACTATGGTATTTGTGCTTGGGGTTCTACTACCCAAAATCACTTACGTCCTCTAATTACCCAACACAAAGCTGCTATTAGAACAATATCCAACTCTGGCCCCAGACATCACTCGGTACCCCTACTCAAATCTCTGAATATGTTAGATATTAAGTCACTGCACATTCTCTCATGTGTATTATACTTATATAAAACGCTAAACTATAATGCCAATCCTGATCTTAAAAGCTTCATAGAAGGTTGTAACAGAACCCATGAGCACCACACCAGAAATAAATACAGTTTTGATATTCCTAGAGTACGTCTTAATCAAACTAGAAATGCTCTGCAAATCAAGGGGCCCAGAATGTGGAATGACCTTCCCAACCATGTTAAAGACTGTACCTCTCTCAACCAGTTTAAGATAAAAACTAAACACTACCTAATAAATTCCCTGTAATCTACCTCACTCCTCTATTGTCAACCCATGTCTGTTATTTTCTTTTTTTTAATCAACACTGTTTGTCAACCTATTGTATTTGTGCTGCTTTTTCAGTCATGTTCCCCCTTTTTTTTATCTTTATTTGTATTTGTTCTCAACACTTTTTATTCTTTATGCTCAATTAGTATTAAGTTCTAGATATTTATGTTTTTCTTGCCCGAAACGCATTGCGTAATAGTGGCTTTAGGCATTGTATGTACTAGCTCTATCTATATATCAATCCATTAATGTAACATCACTTGTATGTATATACCTTACCTGAATAGACATCTGAATCTGAATCTATAGGTACAGCTAGTACATACAATGCCTAAAGCCACTAGCTATTACGCAGAGCGTTTCGGGCATGATAAACTTAAATGACAAGCTTAATACTAATTGAGCATAATGAGTAGAATGAAAACGAGTTATGAAAACATAGCTGAAAAAGCAGCACAAATACAAATATGTCGACAAACAGCGCTCTTTAAGAAAAAACAGACATTGGTTGACAATAGAAGGGTAAGGCAGGTTACAGGGAATTTATTAGGTATAGCTTCGTTTTTATCTTAAACTGGTTGAGAGAGGTACAGTCTTTAACATGGTTGGGAAGGTCATTCCACATTCTAGGCCCCTTGATTTGTAGAGCATTTCTAGTTTGATTAAGTCGTACTCTAGGAATATCAAAACTGTATTTATTTCTGGTGTGGTGCTCATGGGTTCTGTTACAACCTTCTATGAAGCTTTTGAGATCAGGATTTGCATTATAGTTTAGCGTTTTATATATGTATAATACACATGAGAGAATGTGCAGTGACTTAATGTCTAACATATTCAGAGATTTGAGTAGGGGTACCGAGTGATGTCTGGGGCCAGAGTTGGATATTGTCCTAATAGCAGCTTTGTGTTGAGTAATTAGAGGACGTAAGTGATTTTGGGTAGTAGAGCCCCAAGCACAAATACCATAGTTGAGATATGGATAGATAAGGGAGTAATAGAGAGTCACCAGGGCAGGGCGTGGTACATAATATCTGATCTTAGAAAGAATGCCCACAGTTTTTGAAACTTTTTTTGATATATTTAGAATGTGTCCCTGGAAATTCAGCTTGTGGTCAATGAGAATGCCAAGGAATTTGCCATCTAATTTGTTACAAATTTGGGTATTGTTTATTTTGAGATTAATTTGATTAGAGGATTTATTGCCAAACAGAATATAGAAAGTTTTGTCAATGTTAAGGGTGAGTTTGTTGGCAGTTAGCCAAAGATAAAGGGACCCAGTTTATGGAATTCACTCCCTACTGAATTGAAAAGCTGTCCAACTTTTACATCATTCAAAATCAATACTAAAAAGTACCTAATTTCATCTTCATAGTTTTTCTCTTTTTGCCTTAAAATTGCACTGTATCTATTGCTACCCAATCTCCCAACCTTTTTGTTCCCAATTTGAACATCTTTACCATTGAGATCATTGCTGTTTTCTTATATGTGCTGCCATTCTATTGTATGGTGTTTATAAATCTTGTTTATCTGTATCTTTTGCTACCCAGTCTCCCAATCTTTATGTACCCATTCTGAACATCTTTACCATTGTGATCATTGCTGTCTTATATGTGCTGTCAATCTGCTGT